CACATACATCACATAGTATCGCATATATCTACTTACATATATATGAAAACACACAAAAAATGCAACAAAAATAATTATAAAAAAAAATAATTAATTAGAATGTTTAATGTTACACCAGGATTGCTCATTAAGCTAAAACTTTATTTTCAATGGGGTCCATTTACTGTAAAATTATCACACTAACTTATATAATAATAAATACGAAAGCCTAAAAGTGTCAAATAAAATTAAAAGATAAAAATGCAATGGCGTTATAACGCGAATAAAGGCGTTATAACGCCTTTTGATTAGCGTTATAACGCCTTTTGATTTGCGATCTAACGCCTCTATTCGCGTACAATTACGCCCTTTGATTCGCGTAATTATGCCTTTCAATTCGCGTCATATCGCATATATTCGCGATACTTCGCCTTAATTTGCGTTGCTACGCCTTTTTCGCGTTATTACGCCTTTTGATTCTCGTAATTACGCCTTTTGATTCGCGTAATAACGCCTTTATTCGCGTTATAACGCCTTTGCATTTTTATTAATTTCTTTGACACTATTAGGCTTTCGTAAATAAATGAATTATTAAGAAGTTGAAATAAATGACAATTTTTGCAAAATTGTTCAACAATCAAGACACATTTTCAATATAATAAGAAATGCATGGTTTGCATATTTTATTTATTTATAGATAAAACAAAGGTATCTGTTTTAAGGCCCATTGTGTGTCAAAAATAATTTTATTTTATTTTTCAAAAGTTTTTTTATTTTTGATGTCCGGTTATATTTTTCAAAAAGATAATCATTGGCCGATTAGCTTAGACGTATTCTGTTCTTCTGTTGGTTTTTTTGGCAATAAGTACAATATGGTGATATATAGTACATTATATGGAAGTCAATATGTTATTTTGGTAGTATATTGGCTGAAGACCTAACAGCGCATGCACAAAATAATTGCCAAACGATAAAAATCCTTCTGAAAAAAGCAGAATAATGTTATGGTCCGGAACGTTTTATTCTTTTTACGTACAATATTTATGAGTGTTAAATAACAAAGACATTCTTTGATACAATTTATTCGAGACTCGACCGTAAAGATTATGAAAACAAACAATATAATTTATTGATGATATATCTCATAAAAATATTTCCTTGTAAATAGCTTGATATCCTTTAGAAATTGTAAATTGTGAACAACAATATCTCCAAAACATTAGCTTTTTTTATAAAAATATTTTTAAAAAAGTGTTTAAAAGATAGTTTTAAAGAAGTTAAAAACCAATAAATAATTACGTGTGGTGACCAACCCACAACGATCATTCCGAAACCTTACGCATGTAAAAAAATCTATATAAATAAAAACTAAAGTCCGAAATATATATAGAACAAAAGGAGTACGCAATTTTAAAAAACTGCACACTCAAGATTAGAAATTTTATTTGGGTTTATGAGCGGAAGTTTACTCTTTAAGAAACAAAGAATGGGAGATGATTATATTTATTTAGCTCTCGATGATAAATAAATAAATTCAGCGGAAATTTTTACGTGTAGGGCTTTATTCAAATTGTGGTGAATTATATTATTTTTTTTTATTTTAATATTTAATCAAAGCATTTTTGTTAATATGTACTCTTATTACTGATTTGTTTTGAACTTTCTTTCGCATAATTTCTATAATCACCATGCGTTCGGTTGTGACTATTTTGTTTCTAAAAAAATGAATTCAGAGTATTCTTTATCTCTAGTTACGTACAAAGGGCTATCATATCTTTATTTTTTGTGTGAAAATGTTTCTTCAGTATCCAATTTCTTTTAGCATAATGTGAAATGACATCTTTTGAACAGTAGATACAAATATTATAATATTCTTAAATTCTTAATTACACGGCATAAATAAATTTTTAAGTGATACACGCAAGTTATTCATCTCCACGATTTAAACATACATCAACTTTTTCATTAAAGGGAGGAAAGCGAGATTTAGATAAATCTCAAAGTACGTATTGGTTATTTCCCTTGTACTAAAATAGTAACTATGTTTTTTCATTTATTCAAATCAAATAAAGTCAACTGCTGAGTATATAAGGTATAATCTAAATACCGACATATATGCATTGGTTCCAAAGTACATACATGCATACGTCAAAAGACACATTTTGGAAGATTCAGCTGCTTTAAAAATATAAAAAAGTTACTATTACTTTGTATCGAATAACCGTTGCGCTTGAATGTGAATCACATGTCCCGACACTGTGTGTTCGAATCCCGCCAGGGACTTTGGATTCATTCATGTGAGGACACTATCCAGACAGCTTACGAAAAGTCGCGAGTTCTACTGTCTACTGAAATCCCTCCCATTCACCCATGAATATAGTTTGGCCATTCTATTATTTAGTCGTGGTTATCAATTTTAATGAATTATTTGTTTGAAATATTCACAATATTGATAAAATCCTATTGCGAGACGTAAAACCTTATTGAAACATTTATACCGAACCTTCATTTGAGCCGCGTCACGACAAAACCAACATGGTGGGTTTGCTACCAGCATGGATCCAGACCAGCCTGCGCATCCGAACGAACAAAATGGATCCTGATAAGACTGCGTGGATGCGCAGACTGGTCTGGATCCATGCTGGTCACAAACCAATTATATTGGTTTTGTCGTGACGCGGCTCATTAGTTGTTTACAAAATGATAAATGTGTGGTTTTGTGTCATTATTTAAAGCATTTGATCGTTTCTGTAAGGATTTGTTTGTTTAGGTTTTACGTCACAACGACACAGTATATGCCATATGGTGACGTTTCAGCTTTACTGGTGGGAGAAGACCTCATTTGCCCATTCCGTGCATGAATTAAGGCTCGAACATAGGCACCTGAGTAGAACCACCAACGTTCCGTACGCTTGCTGGATATCCTTCTCACATCAAAGAATCCAAAGTCTCTGTCCTATTTCGAACCCGCCGTGGTGATTTGAAGTCAACGACCTTAACCACTCGGCCACGGACGTGCTGTGCTGTAAGGAGTTAAATAATGAAGGTTATGGACATAATAATTTAGACTGTTTATTTAATATGCTATGTTGCGCCTTGATAATTATTTAAGTGATAGTCTATAGATTTTCTTTTCAACTTGGAAATGGGTCATATAATGTGTCATTTGGACGGCCTTTTTTGTGCAAATACTACAATGGTTGTAAAATATTGTACAGGTTTATTCTTTATAATGAATAAGATTCAAATAACACACTAGGTTAGCATTTAGAACACCTTAACAATACACGTAAAACACGTGTCATACTATATATTAAAATGTGACGTAAATTTAACCCATTTTATTCTGAAATTCAGGTCTATATTTTATCTACAGCAATTATTTCTATAATGCATTGGGTACCGCAACTCTTATTACCTGCATTTATAAATCAGATATACATTTTTTACTTTGTCTAACAGTATCACATTTCAGTCCATATTTATCAAGCAGTCAAAATCTTATTTTCAATTTTTCGTTTAAGCAGTTTTAGGATATGTATAAATATTTTCAATTTTTTGCATTACGACTGCAGATCTAAATTCTATAAATATTTAATAACAACAGTCTGGTTACAGTGCGATCTGCACATGCGTCTTTTTAAGTTTTTAAAAGACGTTATCTTAACTTCTAAATGATGAAAACTTAATTGGATTCATTGAACCACCAAATTAAAAACAACAACAACAACAACAACAACAAAAATAACAGCATAAGAACCTTATATAATTCCAATAAATGTATTACCAGTATATCGTACTGATTACGTAATCATGACCACAACAGAATGTCGTCTCTTCATTCCGAGGCCCCATATAGGCTTCCGTATAATACAGACTTTAAAAAAAATACTCTCCAGTGCATTCATAATTGTGTAACAGTGATAAGTGTCATGTCAGAAAAGAAGGCCATACATTTACGTTTCTATAATTTCTGCAACGAACAGACCTGTTCAAGTTGAAAAACTATTTTAGATACTATCTCTCTGTATTTTTTTTATAAATTGAAAAAGAAAAAGGTTCATGTTACAAATAAATTATGTAAGGTATCATATCTACTGCACAAAGCAAAACTCACGCATGGATCTCTGGCCGGCCATGTAAAAATAATTGAAATACATGTCTTTAAAGATATATCGAGTTAAAGTTTTCGCTATATACTGTCTGAAAATATATAAAAAAAAACAGTAACGTAAGCTTAAATTTTGAGTAGTTTATTAATCTGAAAAGGAAGCAGCTGTAATATAATTAATGCGTTTTTATGAGGATACCAGCGTTGCCTCGGTGAATCATTCACGAAATCAGCATTACTTCATACTACATTTTAACTGCTTATTTCACTTTATTACATTTTAGCTGCTTATTTCACTTTATTACATTTTAGCCGTGCTTATTTCACGTTATTACAATTTAGCTGCTTATTTCCTTTTATTTCATTTTAGTCGTGCTTATTTCAGTATCTTATGACAGAAATTCGGCAAAAGTTTTAGGTAAACTGAATATATAAAACATTGAGTAATCATAATATATGTTATTACAGACGAAACTCAAACATTGCATTATGGTAGCCAGGAAAATGTAAATAATATTTATAATGCAATTTTTCTTCTTTTTTTTCTCTCTCTTATTTTATTTATTTAATTATTTATCTTCTTTCTTTTTTCTTTTCTTTGGGGGGGGGGGGGGGGGTGAGAGCGCTTGGTCTGGGGCGTGAAGAAGCACTCATACTTAGATAGGTACATTCCTAAATGTTATTATTTTTGTTTCTTGTTTGGTTGTTTTTGCAATTCAGAAGATAGGAAAAACAATATAAGTTGTCAGTTATAATTTTAATTTAAATAAAATCTTAAACTAAAGTAAAATAAGTATCACTATGTGTATAAAACCAACAATGTAAATTATACGAACAAGCATTATAGACAAGCAACATTAATGGTGTGAAAATGAATGACGTCATGCTTATATAAAAAATTTGTTGATTAATGACCATGATAAAAATAATGTAGTGTTTGTAAAATGTTAAGAGTTCAAATAAAAACTTGCAAGGTAACGTTTTCTTTCATATGGCAAACGTTTTTAACTTATTATATGTCCAAAAAATTGCACACATTCATTTTTGAATTAGTGTGTTTTAAATGTAGTAAGTGCCATTTTCCTTTTTATTTTATCCCGACAGCAACTATTCATAGATCAAACATGTTAATAAATGTTCTGTGACGAAATGTTCAACACAGTGACAATGCATTGTTACGTCATTTTATTTTACGCTTTCATGTACTTTTCTCTGAATGAATCAATTTCAACATTTCCGGGTGTCCATTCTGCTCCAATTGCTTTAACTACTCGTTCAAACCACGCCTTAACCTTCGGATTACTTTTTACAAGATTGTCAAGCTCGTTCACTGCATGAAGCTGATAAAGCTCGCAAACTCCTAAAATATCAGCTACGGACATTTTACTCCCTCCGATAAATTGCTTATCTTGTAAAAAGTAGTCCGCTAAATGCGTAACACTTCTGGTCACTTCCGCCTTTGCTGCGGTCACTTTTTCTACATCCATTGGTTGCTTGCTGAATGCAAGAACGCCCACCTTATCTCTGAACTGAATTACAAAACATGCATGTATTAGAAGAAGCTGTTAATTCATTTTAATGCTAAGAAAACATTTTCAGTTTTCCCAAGAGATTTTCTCCTTGGTTCAGAAAACCCTTTCAAACCGAACACAATTTTGGTCAAACAAGACTTCTAGACGACTGAATAAATAATTAAAAGCAAGAGTGCTTGTTTCGGTCAACAGATCTTTTACAATACAAACAAACTACAAGCAAACTACATTTTCCCAGATAAAAAAATGTTAAAGTTCTTAAGTATGTTATCGTTTCACTTAAAACAGAAATAGAAACAAGGGTCCAGTGTAACGGTTCCTGCGTTATCCTGACACCCTGAACGAATTTCCAACGATAATTACACATTAAAGATATTTGTATATATACTTGTTTACTATATTACCCTGGCTTAGTAGCTCGGGTAATATAAACTTATAACCGTTTAAAAAACTGGTCATATAACCTTGTCAAATATATACGAGTAAATATAACTATAATAATATAACTGGGTCATATAACATTGCCAAATATATACGAGTTTATATAATTATAATAATATAACCTACCATTCCTTGAAAGACTGTGATACAATTTGATCGTATTGTAGAACCTTGCCATGAAAGAAACTCGTCAACTCGAGCCTGGTTCTTAGGGTTATCAGCGGCGAACCATTGGGCCGGCAACTTCTTCTTTGACACAATGTATCTCATTATAGCCAAGCTAAAAACATTAAATGTCTGGTTAGAAATACTGTAAATTCACTTAATTTGATGGTCATGAAATTTCGTGGTTTTATCACAAAGGACATTTTCATGGGTTCTTATATTTGTTGATTGTCTTTTCTATTTTCGCTTGCAGTGTATAACATTTTACAAGTTTATTACTTCAATGCAACCCTTAAGTCTGCTTTACATATTTTACCATCTTATGACTTCAAGACCACTTGCGATATGTGTCCAACCTGTTATCATGGGCTCACTTAACATATAACTTACTATACAACACGGATAACTCTTACCTACCTTTCAGATAACGCGAATCCATCATCGATGATAACTGGTACCTTGTGGTAGGGATTTTTCTTCAAAAATTCTGGTGTAAGATGTTCACCTGAAATAAGAGATGGTAGTTATTATATTACAGTCAAACTTGTGCTAAAGGACACGTTCCAATACTGAAGAAACTTTTTTACTTTTAAATGTGTTTTGGTATTTCTTTATGTTCCGTTATAATAAGCTATAATCTACATTGACTAGCATTATATGCCCAATTGTTAATATCTTCATCAAGCTTTGATAAAAAAGAATTATTATTCAGAATTTTTTCTTTTTCTTTAAAGGCCCATTTTGCCCTAAAATGCTTTTATTTATTTAATAAAACAGTTTATATGGTTTATCTACAGTTTCTGAGGTCTTTAAAAGCTTTCAAGTAAATTCGCCGTGGTTTCATTTAAAATATTTTTACTTTTGTAACGTATAACTGATCTAAATGTTTACAAAATATTCTACTCATCGTGAAATAAGATTATATATCTGTTGTTTCATGTTGTAAAAGTTTGGTATTTTCTGCTGCTTTTTTAAAAATTGTATTGTTCAATAACCAAAGTTGTAACACAAATTATTTGCAATATTTGTTCAGAATAAACCTTTTTCAAACGAGAAGTTGTCTGCCATTTCAGCCAAAGCTCAGTATGTACAAATTAATAGATATGCTTAAGTCAAAACAGACTAGTTCTAAACAATCTAAGCAAATTAATCAATTTAGCCAATATGAAAAGAAATTATTTATTGAATTCATATCATAGACTATAACAATGTTCATTATATTCACTGTTAGACACTTTCTTAGTGAATAAAATACTGCCATTCAATATCTAAGTTCATACTTATCAGAGCTTATTCTCCAGATTTTATAAATTGAAACATTTATTATTCTACAACATTTTACAAGATGTTTGACAAAACGTATAAGTATTAAAAATGTTTATAAATGTATGTACGTGAAATGATTTTTCATCTTCCTATTCAGAAGCAGAGACGAGTCTAAAATAATACACGAGAAAGCACACATACCATTTTATCAGACTGTAAATGTCAAGTATGAGTAAGACTGCAAATGAAATAGTACATGGACTGGTAGCTTTAAATAAACTCGTGAAATACATTTATATAATCGCTTTAAAACCTCCGACGCATATACTGACCCCAACGGCTAAACCCCCGTTTAAATAGTACCATTATCCTATATTAATATGGCATAAAAACCAGCCAGGTCTTATGTAAACATTTAAAGTGTACTTTACTTAAAAATAAATTGCAAATATCGGCAAATTTATACCAAAACTTAAATGCCTGTGGTCCATCGTTTTTACAAATAACAAAGTTATAGTTTTTGCAACATACAAATTCGGTCTCACGACCGAAAAGTTTTCAATTCGTTTAATTATTTTGATAATTAAAAAACAAGCTCCTTTTTTCTGTTAAAGCGACAGAATACATTATCGTTTTTTTTTTGTTGTTGTTTTTTAACAGATTAAAAGAAATTAATTTTCTTACCTTTTAGAAGTGACACCGAGCATCCTTTAAAATCTACCTTAGCACATTTGAGAAGAAAATAGACTGCCCTGCAGGGCTGTGAAAGCAAATCGTAGTAAAATTCGAGACCCATGCTTACAAGGTTATTTTTATCAGCTGTTTACCTAAACGTTTGCTTAAAATTTGTGTTATGCCACAACAGGAATGTCCGCGCACTTTTAAATAACATTTTCACGAGGGGAATAGCGAAAGTTCTGAAACATTGTCACATGTGATAAGTTGTATTAAACGAGGGTTAACCAAAATGTTATTTGCCTTTGTCTGTCATTCTTTTAATTCTTAATTCTTCTTGCAGTAGAGATTCGGAACAGTCGGGAATGTTATACTTCAGTGTTTAAGTAAGCCTTAGATTACATTCTGATTCAGATTATAATTGAATAATGTAATGGTCAACGTTGCTTAAGTTCTTAACTTTAAATTGACTTATGTAATTCATATGTCTGTACACTATTGATAAAGTTAACGGCCCGTCACGCATTTGCTTTATCACAATGTTATTGCAGCTTGCAAATGGGTTAGTCTATAGTACTAATACTATAAGGCGAATAAATGTGGTGGGTTCGTTCATGTAAAAATCATTCGAAGCGCGATTTTCAGTTTTAGTCCATCTTACAGTCATGCGTTTGTAAGCATTAGATCTGTATGCTGCCAAACGAACGGATCATCGTTACATCCCGCTATTTAGTATGAAAAAAGCAGGAGCAAAGTTTGGTTTACATTTAAATGTAGGCTAAAATGTTAGACGCATATGGAGTCAAGCTCCCAAACCCCCAATATTGATAAAAATAGATCAGAAAGTAAAGAAATTATTAAATCATAAGATGTGAATCAAGAACTTAGATAACAGATCATTCCTAGTCTATAACTTTGGCTTTCCAGATTATTTGGAAGTACCGCATTCCATGCACTTCAAGTTTCGTTCTGAACACTTTGGCGTTCAATGTACTTTGGAATTATTTCCTTTCCATGCAGTTCAAATGGCGTTCCGAACACAGACGTTTAAAATGTGCTCCAAACACTATGGAATTCTATTTACTTTGAAAATATGTGCTTTCTTTGCACTTCAAATGGCTTTCTGAATACTGGGGTTCCATGTACTTTAAATGACGCTCCGAACACTGTAGCGTTCTACAAATGTATTTACTTTGGATGTACGTGCGCTCCAGGCACTTCAAACGGCTTTCTGAACACTGATCACCAATGTTCCATGTACATTAAATCGCGCTCCGAACACTTTGACGTTGTAGGCACTTTGACTTTTCTGTTTCATTATATTGCAAACTTTAAATGCAAGACTGATATATACACCTGGAAATAAGTTAAGCACATCCCGAAATTTAAAATTTGTTGTGATTGAAAGCACTGTCATGAGATGACGATTTAATTGAGCTAATAAATAGTAGTGTGATAAGTAGCGATACCAATTTAGTAATTATAAACCATTAAATGTATGAATGTTTATAAGTATGGTGTTGAAGCGTTCACAAAATATTTACTGACGGATATTTTTGGTAAATGTTGACGATTACGTAACCTAAAATGACATTATTGAGTAACGTGTGTAACCGTCATGATAGTCTGGACCCGGGTGATAGTCTTAAAGAGAATTCTGGTTACATATCAGCAACCTTCTTCCAGGAAATAGATCTTTAAAAAAAAGTTCTCTTCGAGAGATTCAAACTTAAGAATCCGCAGTTGATATTGTCGGATAGGGTATTATACTACGATAATAATGTACAACACGTTGTGTCTGGTTTATACGTCTATTCAAACTACTAACGTTATACTACAAAACATAGGAAGTGACGTACTCTAACGTCACGCATACTTTGGCGTCATTTAACGGCACATGATTATGAGCGCAATTCCCGACATTCTGGGGGCCGCAAAATGATAAATTATTAAAATTAATATCAGTTAATTTCAACAAATCTTAGATATACATTTGTAGATTCTAACTCCTTTCTAAAATACATTTAAATAAAAAGTCATTTTTTGAATAACACAAATGTCTCTCAATTGATAATTCATATATCTTATAAATGTTTATAGTCTGTGACTTTAATAATAACTGCACTCCTTCTCATTTCTCTGTAACGCTTCTCTACGTGTCGTAATCTTTGAACGCTTCATATGCGGCACTTGACTGTAAAGTTGCAGGTTGTGCTTGATTTGTGGGTTGATATTCGGTTGAAGATTGGGTTGACTCGCTAGCACCGATATTTATATTTGAATCTGGACTACTTTCACATATACTATGGTGATGTTTTCTTCTACATTTGAAGCACTTGTAGTTTGATGGACAGTTAATGACTTGGTGGTGAATATTCAAGCAATTAAAACATAAATGTTTATTTCTTATAATGTCTTTTCTAGCTCTCATATCAATTACTTTTGTACAGTCTTTGGCATTGTGATATTCGTTGCAAAAAATGCACTGTTCCTGGTCATCAAACGTTTCGCGTGCGGAATTCTGTGTCACGTGACTTCCGGTTCCTGTTTTCTGTCTCGCGCCCGTGAAAAACGACGCTGTAGTTCTATAACCTGTTAAATCATCTGTAGTCTGCCCGGCCTCCATGATTTTCAGTTCACGGTATAACGCTTTTCGTAAAGTTTCTAATAACCACTCATCGCTGCCATTTTCTCGTGCTAAACTCTTGCGAATTTCTGCCGGAAGTTCGTCTATAATGACTGGTACTAAAAGAGTTCCGTACGTATTTTGACACTGACCTAGGGATTCCAATCCGCGAATATAAGCTTCTAATTTGTCGTAATAGTTTCTCATACTGTGTAGAGTATTGCTCGGGGCTGGCAGGTTTAGTAACGCCTGTATATACGCATGAATGATTTTATGAGACTGTCCGAACCTCTCCTTCAGTAAATCGACTGCTTGTATGTAATTTGCATGCGTAAGTGCAAATCCTTGAATAACTTGAGCCGCACTGCCTTCTAGTTGCGTCTTCAAATAACTAAATTGTTGTACTTCTGTAAGATTCGGGTTTTGATGAACAGAGGAATCAAAAGCATCCCAAAAACTTTGCCATTCGAGAATGTCACCACTAAATACAGGTAGTGATAATTTCGGCAGTCTCTGATAAAGCGACGTATTTGAATGAAATGTACTCACATTTTGCAAAGAACTGTTACCATTATTCACGTTATTATTTTCGATCAGGGAACCACTTCCGTCTTTGTTCTGGTTTTGCGGGTTAGTTGGTTCGCTATAAGCATTCTGTTGTTCTTCAGTGTTGCTTTTTCTGTTTTCGCTATAAGCTCGAAGTTCTCTCACCTTTATCTCCAACGTTAATCCATATTCTTCACTATTTACTATTTCCTCCTCGATGTCGATTACTTCCGTTAGTTCTAAAATCTTTTCGTTTAAGGATTTGATCGTCTCTGCTTTTCTGACAATGGCTTTGAGAATTGCGTTAAATTCTATCATCGATGAATTCTCTTTCCCCCGTTCAATTCGTTCAAGCTGAATTTCTATACATCTTCGTTGACCTTCTCTCATTGATCGCAATTTATCTATCTTCATAATGTTTTCGTCACGGCACCAATGTCGGATAGGGTATTATACTACGATAATAATGTACAACACGTTGTGTCTGGTTTATACGTCTATTCAAACTACTAACGTTATACTACAAAACATAGGAAGTGACGTACTCTAACGTCACGCATACGTTGGCGTCATTTAACGGCACATGATTATGAGCGCAATTCCCGACAGATATGATCAATATTTTCTCGCTTGACAGAGCGGGCAGTCTGGATATCAAATATTCAAAATAACTAGTATTTATTTATGTATTAAGAAATACCTATTGCTGGAAAATATATAATTTATTATATAATATGAATGATAAATATATATTTATTATTCAACGTGTTAATGAAATATCTGTGAAGTTTTTTTTTACAAATTAGTAAGAAAAGTGTCGCAAAATATATGCCACAGACAGTATGAACATTTTTAAACAAATAAAGGGTGGCAAAGTGGTGCTTTATTTGGGGTTAAGAAATAGTGACATACAACCTTAAAACGGTTAAATTTAGAACACCCATTTGGCTTAGATTTTACAAACTTTCTATCAATATCTTAAGCACATTGCACATTATAACTTTATCTATTCAACTATGAACACAAAATGAGAAAAGGATATTTTTCTTCAAAATATCATATCATTTAAAGGTATTATAATAATTGTAATACAAACATTTAGATGATTACCTACTCTCTTAAATGTATGTTACAGGTAAACCTTTATGGCAGGCCATCTTCCAACCGTGATCCCGTACACGACTTTTTCCGCCGCTAAATGTCCAAACCTCGCGTCGGTCACAAAGTCTTTGCTACGAATTGTTACAACGGTAAATGGAAATGTCGCACGATTTTCCTATTGCGTTAAACCGTAAAATGTTAATTCATATTAACTTAGGCTGTTGGGCTGTTGTTGGTCTCGGCCCATTGAAATTTCGTGCTATATGTTCTATAGTAAAAATCAGTCACATTTGAGGTTTAATTCTGGACTCAACTGTTCTTGATTAATTATATACTTTCTTCAACTTTAAACATCAACACTATCTAAGTAAAATGAGGTCCAAAATATAATATGTTAGCCATCTACTTTTTTCAGAATTCTTTTTTCTGTTGTAACACTATTGAATTTCACTACTTTTAATATTCCTGACTGTTAGCGGGTAGTACCTCTTTAATCCTTCCGCCAACAAATGAGGTCTTGGAGAATACACACACAAAAACTACTTTTAGAGTAATCATGTAACACACAAAAACTACACAAATGCAATAACTACACTTTCATTGTGACATATTAACCTAGAGATGCCATAGATTGGGCCGCTTCAAAATTTTAAAGAACTACTTTCTAGACTACAACGGATCGGATCTTATTCTGTACCCGGATGAGACCTGTTACATTCTTATCGAATCGTGCAACATTTTCTACAGCATTCTTTTTATAGAAGATGGACACCCCTACGGTTATATCAATGTAAAAAACACAATAGCGTACATCTACATGTATATACCTAACATTAAGCGCAGTTACATTCATATACATTACTTTCATCACTCTCTTTGGTTAAAACATGTCTATTTAAGCTCGATTGCGAAACAAGTTCTTGCAACTT